TATTTATTTATTTATTTATTTATTTGGTCATGTTGGTGTAGTGTATATTGGAGGTGGTGACCCACCTCCCTACGCTCCTTCCTTCCTCCCTCCCTCCCTCCCTTTTCTTTCCTCCCTCTCTCCTTCCTCCTCCTCCTTTTCTTTCTTTCCTTCCAATCTCCTTCCTTACTTGCTCCTTCCTTTCCTTCCTTTCCTCCCACTTTCCTTTTTCCTTCTTTCCTTCTTCCCTTCCTTCCTTTTTCTCCCTCCCTCCCTCCCTCCCTCCCTTTTCTTTCCTCCCACTTTCCTTCCTCCTCCTCCTTTTCTTTCTTTCCTTCCAATCTCCTTCCTTACTTGCTCCTTCCTTTCCTTCCTTTCCTCCCACTTTCCTTTTTCCTTCTTTCCTTCTTCCCTTCCTTCCTTTTTTTTCCTCCCTCCCTCCCTCCCTGCCTTGCTTGTGGCTGAAAGCAGTGTTGGGCATGCTCAGGATTCCTCATACGCCTAGGAATTAATGCAAACAATAAAGTCACACTTGCCATCCAATTCATTTCCTTATTGCCTTGAATGTAAGTGTAGGCTTGAGGTAACTGGGTGGACTGACATGTCTAACAAACTCCACACTTATAAATTGCTCTGGTGACAGTTGCTAGCATAAACTATTACAGGCAGATTTAGAACGTAAAGATTATTCGGGTGACAGCGAGTGGCGGGAGGAAATGGTGTACACGCTTGCTTCTAATTGCTGATAAAATGTCATGCAATTCAGGGTAATATGCGCCCGGAATCCTTAGACTGCCGGAGAGATTTCGAATAGGAAGCCCAATCCATTATTTAAAAGGCAGTGGGGAGGCTAATGGGTGTCATGCAGTCTTTGTTGGCCACAGGGATGAAGTCTTGGGCACAGGTTGATTGTCAACTTGAGAGCCAGGAACAGGGAGCTTTCGTATGGGATGCGCCCTCCAGAATTCCCCATCCTTATCCTCTCGTCTTCCTCCGCTAATGGCTGGTTGCCGCTTTGTTTAGTGGCCTTGAGAGACGGAGAGACCATATTGACGTAGCCGTTCTCTTAAGTTTGGGCAGCTGTTCAGTGGCGAAATCTAATCCCTCCCCCACTGGTTCTGTGGGTGTGGCTCGGAGGTGAGGATCATGTGACTGGGTGGGCGTGGCCAACCTTTTTTCCACTTTCAGCTATTTTTATTACCTTTTTAAAGCATTTTTTCCCTGCCGGTTCGCCCGAACTACCAGGGGAAAATGCTTTAAAAAGCTTTTAAAAAATAGCTTCCGCTGTGAGCCGTGTGACCATCGGAAGCTTCCCCCCCCCCAGAAGGTTTTTTTTTCACCCATCGGTTCACAGAACCAAGGACAATCATTCCTACTGGTTTGGCTGAACAGGCCAAACTGGGAGGATTTCACCCCTGGAGCTAGTGGCATTTGCCTCATCAGCTTTAGCTCCAGGAGTAGAAATACAAAAACACAGAGAAACACACACACACACAACACCCCTCCAGGCCTCCCCTTCTCATCCCCAACTGGTCAGCAGCATATTGTAGGCAGAGTGGCAGAAACTATGGGTGGAGTTAAAAGAGAAATCGGCCTAGAATCCCTACGTAGCCATAAGGGGACTAAGTCCAACTGTCCTTGAATCCCAGGCATCCTTGTCTTGCTCCAATCAGGTGGTAACAGTGGTGGGTTCCTACCAGTTTGGACCGGTTCAGCCACACCGCCATGGCATGGCAGCCTGGGTGGCTGGAACCGGCAGCAACTCCGGCCTGCCCTGCCCCCGAACCAGTTCCCCGCTCTCTTCTCCCGTCGCTGGCATGTTTCTGCATATGCACAGAACAGTTTTCGGCCAACTGTGCATGCACAGCAATGTGCAGTGGGCATGGGCGCATGAAAGGAGGGAAAAGTGAGCCGGTAGTAAACTGGTTAGGAACCCACCCCTGGGTGGTAACCCTTTGATGAGAAGATTAATGTCCAAGTAACATTCAGTGCCTGCTTGGAATTAGATCAGCGTCCATGGAATTCAAGGGAGGTTGGACTTAAGTCCGCTTGTAGCTATGCAGGATTCTAGGCTGATCACTCTTTTAACTCCACCTCCAGCTCTTCCAGTCCTTCTCCTACATGACTTACGTTCATGATTGTAGGTATTTCGGTATAACTCTCTTTGTTTCCCCCCACAGTGTAAGCTTTTCCTAACTTTCCTCTGCCGTCTGCCTTTCTCTAAGTTAAGATCTTGGTGCTGAGCCTTACACCTTTGACACCCCCTCGAAGAACAGGTCTCAGTCTTCCTCATATCTCCCTCCTCTTCAGAATACTCGAAGAAGGCTAGGTATCACAACCGTTTTCGGTTTTCACTTCTTGTGCTTAAATATACTCAGTCCCTGCGATGGGACTTCACTAGTGGTGGGTTGCCAATTCTTTTATTACTGGTTTGGGCGTGCTTGTGTGCGTGTGATGCTTCTGCGCATGCGCAGAAGTGTCCGGGCAGGTGGGCGGAGCCTTCTGCTGCTGCTACTACCAGTTTGCCAGCTCTTTACCCTGGACTTAACTTATGTCCTGATAAACAGGGCGGTTCGATTGTCCCCACTGTCCTTCTCTGGACTAGTTCTAGTTTGCTAGAACTCTTCCCCATTATGGGCGTCTCCTTGACCTCTCCTGGCCTTTCTGACGCATTTTGCAAGATGTCCTCCCGGAGCATCTAAGAAGATTGAATTTTTTTTGCAAGGTTTCCAGTTCTTTCTGTCAGGCTTTTCCCGAGAGGTTAGACGTGGAGCTCACCTTTGATCCTGAGGCCCCAGACCCCGTAGACCCCTGGCCTTCCCCGGTTTGCCATTTTGTTCCCCGCCGCCGTTCAACATCTCCCCGGATGTGTTTGGAAGAGCTTTGACCTAGATTGGAGGCCATGTGTGAGCTGTGTAAAACAGAAGCCTTCTCGGTGTTCTTTTGACAAGAGAAAATGACATTGTAGAAAAGAGAGGACATTGTCACTTTGATTAGCTTCTCTTTGATCATTATGATTTTCATCTAAGCGCATCGCGGAGGGTTTCTCCTCCTGCCCCCCCCCAAATGTCATCAGATGTTACATGCTCTCGTATAAATAGTCTTCCGTCAGCTTCTCAGCACACATCGCTGTTTGTAATTATATCCCTTGGAGGCATCAGAGGTTTAAACCAGGAAACAAATGCAAAAAGCTTCTAACTAGGCAGAAACAATGAAGACGCAGAGCCCGCCTTGTTCCACTTTGAGCCGAGGCCCCCCCGATCTCTTAATTATTTCCATCATTAGCCGCTGAGGCTGGCACCCAAAAAAAAAGTTACTAATCTTTGGTCTTGACTGATGCAAAAGGAGGTTTATTAGCGTGGAAATGCACTGCCTTTTTCTTCCACCATCACCACCACCACCACCACCTCCTCCTACTCCTCTTCTCCTTCTCCTGCTCCTTCTCCTTCCTTCTCCTCTCCTCCTCCTCCTCCTCCTCCTCCTCCCCCCCCTTCTGGCACTGATGATGTTACTTAGTTGGGTTATAAAAAGTCTGCGAGAAATAATTAAGCTCAGAGAGCACCAAAACCCCCACAATTATCTTCTTCCTCCTCCTCCTCCTCCTCCTCCTCCTCCTCCTCAAATATTTTTGTAGTCTCCATTGCTACATAAGATTCTGGACTGGACCATCTGAAGACCGGCTAGGAAGTCACTTATTGTTGAGGTTAAAATGACGAATGATGAAATGTTATGAGGCGAGCAAATGTTTCTGCCGTCTGGTTGTTTAGAAGCAACCCGGAGAATGCTTTGTATGTGTGGAGGCTCTTAAGGGTCAACTTGAACAGACTTTTCTTTACACAAAATCATATCTGCTATTCAGCCCAAGAGCCGGCTGAATAAAAAATGGCGTTTTTTGAAAAAAATTCTAAAGCGTTATTGGCAAGATCTGTTGTATAAGCCATTCAGACAAGGCTCTTTAGCATCAAAAAGGAATATTTAATCCCTTGTTAACCTCATTTGGAAACCTCCCAGTGTATTTTTTTTTTAAAAATTGTTTTCTTAATTTATGTCATTTGCTGGGAAGTTTTTTTTCTTTATAGTCATTTACGCCCAACACGCAAAGAGACTAGCAAATATTTAATTTAATAAAATATTTATAGTCCGTGTACCATCCTAATGCTCAGAATAAAGAAGAACCAGAGAAGTTATTCCCAGGAGAAAGAAAGTTAGGTTTTTATGAATTATTTACTTCCTCTACTTAACCGTAGTTAAAGGGAATATCATTTGAAGGAGCTAATGAGTAAGTGGGATGGGAAGGGTCTATATCCATTATTCTCCAAAATCAGGCAAATCAAATAATGTTTCAGGGATGCAGTCAATGAAAATGGCATTGTTTGTGCGATGACATTGCTTTGCAAAAATGTGAGAGAATTTGGTCTCTCACATGCAAACTCCTTTTCTGGAAAGGAGACCCTGCAGATTTTACTCTGCTAATTGTTGCTGACTGTAGGGGGCAGTACTCATCTCCATTTCGAGGCCTTGAGCCAGAGCTGTTGGGAGACAATTCCCACCAGCATGACATCATGGAGCTCTGTTACCTTCCCACCGAAGGGATACCTATTTATCTACTCGCGTTTGCATGCTTTCGAACTGCTCGGTTGGCAGGAGCTGAGGTGAGGACGGGAGCTCACTCCCGTCATGTGGCACTCGGGTCTTGAACCTGGGCCAGCACAGAGTTCACTTACCTTCTCACCAAAGTGGTACTTATTTATCTACTCACATTTGCATGCTTTCGAACTGCTCAGTTGGCAGGAGCTGAGGTGAGGATGGGAACTCATCCTGTTGCGTGGCGCTGGGGTCTTGAACCCGGCTGTTGGCTTTCCAGCCAACATGCCCAGCATCTTAATTGCTGAGCCACCATCCCTCTGTTGTTGGCTGCATCATTAAAAAAAAACGTAGAGCAGATCTAATCCATAAATCAAATAGAGTAAGAGCTGATATGATTCAAAACCTGCAGGTCCCTCCTCCCTATTGATGGGTTTGCAACTGGGGACGTTGTGTGAATACGGGGACGTTATCAGGCTAGATTATCTGTTCATTGAGCATCAAGGATGTTGTGCCCAACTTTCCCAAGCTCCGGACTGTAGAAATTTAATTGCCAGCTTTTACCAGGGGGATTTAATCTTGCTTTCGAGTGTGAGATTCATACAGTACTTGACTTTTTTGCTTCTTTTTCTTGAACACGTTGGATGTCACCAGGCGTCTCTTGAACTTAACCTTTCTCAAAATCAAGCGCGATAATAGGCTGGAAATGGAAATTGAGCAGAACCTGTCTGGGTACAAGTGACCGTACTGTAATTATATTTGATATGCTGTGATTTGGAAATTAGTCCGGAGATCGGAAGGACTTTGAGGGAACTAAAAACAGAGAAAAATAATGAAGTGGTAGAAGGGATATCTTAAAAGGATGGTGGAGTTCTCGGAAAGGCAGTCAGGTCCTCTTTAAAGACCTTTTGGCCAAGCGATGCTCAACCATGAAATATCAAGAGATCTGTGATCAATTGCCGGCTGGGTCTTGAAACCGGACAATTGGGGTGACATGTTGCTCTTCCTCTTTGTTTTCAGTGGATGGCTGCATTGACTGGCTGGTGGACCTCAAGAGGTATATGGCCTTGGCAGGCGAGCCAGTGCGCGTGAAGTGCGCTCTCTTCTACAGCTATATCCGCACAAACTACAGCATGGCTCAAAGCACGGGGCTCCGTCTGATGTGGTACAAAAACAAAGGGGATTTCGAAGAGCCCATTATCTTCTCAGAAGGGAGGATCAACAAGGATGAAGACTCCATCTGGTTTCACACTGTGGAAGTCCAAGACAGCGGCTTTTACACCTGCGTCTTAAGGTGGGTATCATGCAGGAGAAGGATGGGTGGATGGATGGATGCATGGATGGATGGGCTGATGGGTGGATGGATGGATGGATGGATGGGTGGATGGATGGATGGATGGATGGATGGATGGATGGATGGATGGATGGATGGGCGGGCAGATGGGCAGATGAATAGATGGGTGGATTCTTGGATGGATGCTTGGATGGGTGCTTGGATGGATGGATGGATGGATGGATGGATGGATGGATGGATGGATGGATGGATGGATGGATGGATGGATTGCCAATGGCATGTGCAGCAAGCAATGATGGTCCACGTGATGACACTTGCATCAAGATGTACCTGCTCAAGCAAACAATGCAGTATTTGTGTCCTGATGTTAATGGTAGAGGCAAATACATACATGACATCATTTCATGACTTTAAGAAACATGTTTCATTCCCCTTGTTTGGAAATGCCTGTGACCTCGGTTGTGTTTCAGAGACTTGGGAAGTCTCCATCCATCCATCCATCTATCCATCCATCCAATCAAGCAGTGAACCATCCAGACTTCCAGATCATCCCCCCTTTTCAAGTGGTTGCTGATGTTATTGGTCATCATCACTCTTATTGTTGGTCAACATATTGAAGTTCCTGTTTGACGGTGTTAAAGATCTAAGCTGTTCTGGTTAAGGCTGCCTTTTGCAAGTGACTGGCAGTAATTTTGTCACATGCTAATGAGTGTTCGGGATGTTTTGGGACATCACGCAAGGCGCCTATTGGAATTAAGTTGGTTTTCTTTTGCCACCGTCGTCCTACTTCTATTGCCGGTCTTTGTATGTTGTGATTATTCTCCATTGTTGCCGTTGTTATTGTTGTTATCATTACGAGGCTGCCTCACTCCAGAACAACTTTGGGTATCTTTCAGTTAAAGTAGATTCCCTCAGGGGGACATGATGGCTCAGTGGCTAAGACGCTGAGCTTCTCGATCAGAAAGGTCAGCGGTTCGGCGGTTCGAATCCCTAGTGCCTCGTAACGGAGTGAGCTCCCGTTCCTTGCCCCAGCTTCTGCCGACCTACCAGTTCAAAAGCACATAAAAACCGCAAGGAGAAAAATGGGGACCACCTTTGGTGGGAAGGGAACAGCGCTCCGTGCGCCTTCGACATGGAGTCATGTCGGCCACATGACCACGGAGACGTCTTTGGACAGCGCTGGCTCTTCGGCTTTGAAAGGGAGATGAGCACCATCGCCCCCTAGGGTCAGGAACGACCAGCACACGTGTGCGAGGGGAGCCTCTACCTTTTCCTTTGGATTCCATGTAGGAATGGCCAGCGTAATCCATTCACTGCAACTTAAATCTGGTGGCTTCACTGGAATTCGGCGGATGTGAATTTCTGCTGAAAGGAAGGGCAAGAAACGGCCCTTTCTGAGCTTTCCTGGATAAAGAGACAATAGGAGAAATACCTTTGCCAAGCATACATTCGACCCCGGGGACCAGGGAGGTCAGGCCTATTTCTTCCAAAATGAAATGAGTGTGACTATAAATGGCCCCCCGAGAACTTTAAAATGCAAAGAGCTTGAAACACACATTTCCAAGTTAAAAGTTCCTCGCCTGCAAAGGCCGGGAAGCTGACAGGCAAACAAATGGGACAGCCCCGGTCGTGACTCTGGCCCCTCAGTCTCTGACCTCCGGCCATCGCCCGTCTCTCCGGTGGCTTCCTGGGAGAACAGGATATTTTTCTGCGGTTATCTGAAGCCATTGGCGGCCCGTAGGGAAAAAAAAGCACCAAGCGCCCGCAGTGCTATTATAAGGGGAGGATTTGAGCAATGGGTCTCTTTTTTAGATTGCAAAGGAGTTCTGTCTTGGAAGGGGGAACCGGGCTCCGGTGTGGGTTTATTCCCGCTAAATGGCCACAAGGGGAGCTAAAGGGACGGTTCTCACCCTGGGCAACTTCCCATCCCAGAACTCTAGGAATGGACGGCCGTGAATGCTGCCTGGGGAATTCTGGGAGCTGAAGTCCAGACATCAGAGCCCTCAGAGCCTCCTGGGGATTGGCCAAAGTCGCCCAAGACAGGTCTAGAACTCACCATCTCCCGGTTTTCAGCCTGGTGCTAGACCAAACTGGCTGTCCTCATGTAGGCCAATGCTTATCTGTGCCCAGACCATCCACTGGTGGCTTTCACATCCTTGGCGATGCTGTTCATCCCTCTCTCTTTCTCTATCCTTCCCTCTCTCTTTCCCTCCCTCCCCTCTCTACATCACTTCCTCCCCTCCCTCTCTTTCCCTCCCTCCCTCCCTGTTTCCCCACCCTTCCCTTGCTCTCTTCCTCCCTCTCTCCCTCCCTCTCTCTATCTCCCTCTCTTTCCCTCCCTCCCTCCCTGTTTCCCCACCCTTCCCTTGCTCTCTTCCTCCCTCTCTCCCTCCCTCTCTCTATCTCCCTCTCTTTCCCTCCCTCCCTCCCTGTTTCCCCACCCTTCCCTTGCTCTCTTCCTCCCTCT